AAGAAGCCTACACTGTGGAATAGGGTCGACGGAAAAAAATCTCTTCCGCCCCTATAAACACATGACAAAAACTCACGAGTTATGATAGATGATTCCTCATTTTACCGGAGGAGAACTACTAGGTAAAATCGAAACGAAACCTCCTCTGTATCTTATGCGATTTTTTAATGTTTGTGTTTACAAATAAAATAATCAGCATCTCAGTGGCAATAACTCCTAATTATCATGGTTTATCTGTCTGGCAAGCTTTCTTCAAATACAGTTTCCGACAAAAACAAGCACCGTCTGAAGGCATACACATCAAAAGAATTATGGCAGCTTGGGGCAAAACTGTTATAACCATACTGGCACGTTTCTGCTACTCTTACCAGTTCATGGATGTTCCTGTTTTAAAGTGGAGACATACCGTATCTGCGGATGGCTGATTCCACGGTAGCCGCCATATCAACTCCTCCTATCAGTGAGTTAAGGAATAATGCTGCCAACGATTCATTTTATCCACTTCAATGAGGGTCTCATTTCCTCGCTTTGCACTCAGTCCACAACCTCAATAATAAACTGACCTTATGGTTGAACAGAGGCTCGCAGATATTTCTTGGTACCACATGCAAATCCTCAGCCCGAGAGTCCTGAGTTAAAGGTGGTACTTTTTCACAGAAGATGTGTTCACGGTGAGGGTCTAAGACGGACGGCTTTCATTTTTTTCATAAAAGTATATGACAGCAAACATCATGAGTGAAGTCTGGTATCGGAGAAGTCATTCGCCATTTGGCATACTAGGACGTAGGAACAACTTGTGACGTTTATGTGACAGAAATAATCATCGTTCATGATCATCACGAAGTGGCTTTAACGAACATATTGATGCTGGCTGCATCTGGCACTGCAAGTACTAAAATATCACGGAGCCGCCGGATGTTCAAATCCCCCAGGCAACTAGGAACAAGGGGGAGATGCAATATGCCATGAAATCATTCCCCATATTGCAGGAAATGGCAGTAAACAGGTAATAATAGAAAGAAGAGAGCAAAATGGAATGAATTGATCGTCCAAATCGTTTCATAATCGTCAAAGGAGAGAAAGGAAAGCTTCTAACCATCACAATGTCGATCTTCCTTAGACTTTTATGACTAAGTCATTTCCAGCCACTTTTATTTTAATGAAGCTAAAGGCTAACTCCGCCATGGCCGGTCCCAAGCCCGGATGAGAAAGGACGAGCGTTGGAGAGCGTGGCAAGTCTCCGTAAAATTCAGCCAATTGCCACTCATGGTATTGACGCCTTCGAAAATTATACCGGCT